TAAGATGATAACTAATTGTTGATAACTTATGACAAATAAAACTAGCTTATATGAAAAAAGTGTTTGGTAAAATTAGCTGATAAGCTAGGTGAAATAAAAATTTCAATAAGCTTATTTGAAAATAAGCTTATGAGATAAGCTCGAGCTTTTTAAAAATGTTCGTCCTACCAAACCAAGCTTATAAGCTAATAAAATAAGGTATAAGCTAGCTTATATGCTTTCCAAACACAACCGTTGTATAATGAATCACGAGCTTGTTTGTGTCTTCTAGAAAGAATGGAGAAAGAGTGGATTGGATAAAGTCTTGGAGAACTACACTTTTCAACCTCTTGGAAGATATCCCGGTTAGTTACCGCCCGACAATCGCGTCCATTTCCATTGATGGCACATCTGCAACGACAATTATTGTCGATAGGTTGAGTTTCCATTTATATAATCTCTTGTCTGTTTTTCATATGCCGTCTTACTATCTTTATAAAAATGTCCGAGGCTCAATTTAATTACAAAAAGTGCAGTTAATGTTCCTAAATTGCAAATACCACCTTGATAAAAACCTCAAAGAGGGTAGTGTACTTTTGGACAGTAACTGATATAAATATATGTGTGTGTGTATAATCTTCTTTGTTATAAATGTCTTGTTATCTATCTTTTTTCAAGGAAAATATACATCTTTGATTTTCTTCTTCTTCTTCTTCTCTTTTTGTTTTTTAATGCAGCAAAACAGGTGAATGTTTGTGTGAGCCTTTCCTCTACAACCAGGCTTGTCCAGAGGCTTTGCCGATTGTTAAGGAAATCGCTCCCCCTAACCACACGGTTTGCTCCGGATCGTCTACACTGTGTAAACTCGTCTCGTGGTGGATTTCATGTGATGCCCCTAATTTTTCGGCCGTATTAATGCATCAAGCTGATTGGCTGTTGTGGCTTCTTCATGGAAAGCTCGGAGTCTCTGATTACAACAATGCTTTGAAAGTATAGTTTGTTTTCAGTAATCATGTCAATATGTTTCTTTCCTTTATTTCTCAGTTAATTTAGGGCGTGATTGGATATGAATTTAATTTGGTTTCGGTTGTTTTTTTTGCTAACCATAGTTAATTTTGAAACAAAATGGTGTGGTTAGTTGTTAGTGGGATTTTGAGTTTGTACTAAAATAGTATTTAAATTAAAATAATAAAAATTAATTTGATGTAAAAGCAGGAGAGAGATGATGTAAAGTGATGATTAGTTTAAATTATGTGAGTGAATGAATAGTGAATTAACGTTGATGTGTAATATTATTATTTTATTATATTGATAATATTGAGGATAATGGAGTTGAGTTAAAGTTAAGTTAAATTTGAGTTTTGATTGAATTTTTTCCGAATGAACTTGTCACACCCTTAGTATATCATGCCCGCATACTCGATTGCTCAGGACCTGTCGTACTAAATTTTATAGGTTGGTTATGATCCAGAAATCGAGTCTTATCCTAAGTGGTTACTCTCTCAACCGTACTCAAGAGTTTTACCTCTTGTGCAAGCTCCTGGGACCACCATTGGCACTATGATGGAGAATATCCGAACGCATTACGGTAAATTTACCGACTATGCTTAACTCTTGAAAATCATGTTATTGGGAGGTTTGGTCTCATAAGAAGCTCATGAAAATCCATGTTTTTATTAGTAGCTTATCGATATTTAGAATAATTTTTATGTTAGAAGGGGAAAGGAAAAGATCTAGAGCATTGCTTTTCATTGTTTTCCGCACGTGTTATTTCCAGTATCGAAGTTCCATTTTCATTTTTCAGTCTCTTGACAAAAATTTATGTTCTTATTAGGCTTTTCAAAGAATTGTATTATCTGCACAGGAACCACTGATAGTATAGCAGCCTTTCTTGCAGCACGTGCCACGGAACCTGGAAAAGCTGTAAGAATGTAGTGAATATATATTTTGCAACGTACTACAGAAGTTTTTGCCTTCTGGCTCAACCTGGGGAAATCCGAAATCATAATAACGTAGAACACTATTTTTCCCTTCGTGGCTTTGTGTTATTTATGTTCATATTAACATTGTTGATACAATCCTTGTCCCGTATTGTTTTCATTGACACTAATATCTAAGGTTGTTAAAGAACCGAACGTTCGCGAACAAAAGCTCGTTCGTGTTCGACAAAAGAGCCCGTTAGTTTGTTAATCGAGCCGAGTTCGAACAGAAGATTAGGCTCGTTTAATAATCTAACGAACACGAGCTCGTTCGCAAACGTTCGATAATGTTCGCGAACATTAATTTAATATAATTTTATTGTTATATATTTACATGATATTTGTAATAAAAGAATCTAAAATATAAAAATATTATTATTTTATTTTCGAGTTCGAACGAACAAATTTCGAGTGAATTAAATATATTTAAAAAGTTTATGTCCTAAATTATTCGAACACGAACGAATTCGAACTTTGACGAACAATTAAAAAGAACGAGCTCGAACACGATTTTTTTTGCTCGAAAAACAAACGAACGACCACGAGCTCAAGACGCCCAAGCTCAACTCGTTCATTCGATTACAAAACTACTAATATCTTTGATTTTCAACGTGTGCTATAAAACCGATAAAATAAATGATATTATAATTTACTAAAAAACTATTGTTCGTATTGGGCACAATCAATGTCAATATCAGGTTACTTCTTTGGGTTCAACACTCGCGATTAAGCTACTAAGCACGAGCAGAGTAGACGATGCACGTTTTGGCGTTTACAGCCACAGACTTGATGATAAATGGCTTGTGGGAGGAGCTTCGAACACAGGAGGAGCTGTTCTCAGGCAGATCTTTACGGATGATCAGCTCGTGAAACTAAGCCAACATATAAACTCAGAAAAACCCTCTCCTTTGGATTATTATCCCCTAGTCCTTACTGGGGAAAGATTCCCTGTGGCAAACCCGATAATGGAACCAAGGTAAGTCGATTGTGTGTTATGATTAATGTGCAACTAAATCATATAACAGAAGATTAATGGCATTTTCTGGCAACTAAATTTAATTGATTCACCTTAAATCGTAAGGCATTGGATTAATAAATCAAGACAATATTACCTCAAACTACTATTTTCTTTTCCTCTTAATTCTCATTGTATTATGTGAAGATGATGACGAGAAAATTGTGTTACTTGAGATAAGAATAATATAGGTACATTTTATTATGTAGTTTACTCCCAACCGTTGGATTAGTGAAACTGTTAACTGTAGTTTTACCCCTAGTGGTAGGATTATGTGGACCATTTTAAAATTATCGTATATTTAAAAAGACAAAACAAATAGGAGAATAAAAGAGATAACATAAAAGATTTTCCTTTAGCTTTATATATTTTTTCAACCAAGAGTATTGTTTAATGATTCCATTCTAAATGCACTCCAGATATTTTTCTTTTCTGAATCTTACAAAAAATGTCAATCGCAATTCGGAATTCGGTTGCATTGCAGCGGTACTCTAGTCTATTTTTCTAAAGAATCACTCATCTATTTAAATCCTCATTCCAGGTTGCAACCTCGTCCAGAAAGCGACGTTGAGTACTTACATGGTATTCTAGAGTCCATCGCTCGAATTGAGGTATAGAAACACACACACACACACACATGCATGCACATTTTTTCGCGCTTTCTGTTTGTTATTTACAGTCCCTTGATTTTATAGCCAAGTAGCAAATGCAATGATGAAATATAGCCACGTTTTGTATTAGAGAAATAATAACCATTTTGCCATATACGACAATTACCCTTACTACCAAAAACTGGATTTTCAGAAACAGTTTCTGATTGTAAGGGTAATTGTGTAATTTCATACTTCTACGTAAGTGGTTTTTTTTTAATCTTTTTAAAAGCTTCATGGCTATTTAGTGATATTACCACTATTATTTACTCGCACCTGTTTTCTCCAATGCCATTAAGCTACAGAAAAATAAGAAAATTAACACTGGCATATGCATGTCTAATTCAGGCAAAAGGGTACAACTTGTTAAAGGAACTTGGAGCCAACCCGCCAGTAGATGAAATATTTACTGCTGGTGGCGGATCGAAAAACGAGAAATGGATCGAAATACGAGAGAGGGTTCTTGGCCTGCCCGTTCGGAAGGCTCTTCAAACCGAGGCTGCTTATGGTGCTGCATTGTTGGCCATGAAAGGTGCTTCAATATAACAAGGTGTTATTGTTACCTGTGGTGACGATTAATCGGCTTTTGAAATAAAGAGCTGAATGTCGAAATGAACTGATACATTTTGTTGTACTGTTTTTTAATCCATACAATGACTTGTGGAGAAAGCTCAACATCACCAGAATGAAATAGTAAAAGTGATGAGCTGCAAGCCTGCAATTTGATGTGTGTTTGGTACTTGGCTTCGCATGGCTGTTTTTTTGTGAAATATGTTCGTTCATCTTTGAAATTGAAGAAGCTATTGTCTCTTTCTTGTTATCCCCTCATTATTTTCGTAATTTTGCGAAAAGCTACAGAAACATATGTTGGAAGAAAAAATAGTTAAGGAAATAAAAAAAAAAAGTATTAAAACAAAAGAAAATATAAAAAAAGTATTTTAAAACAAAAAAAAAATTTAGTAACAGGGGTGTTCCGAGAATCGAACTCGGGACCTCTCGCACCCGAAGCGAGAATCATACCACTAGACCAAACACCCAGTTTAACAATTGTGGTCATATTACTTAAATTATGCTTGATGGATAGAGGCCAATAAATAACAAGTCGGATATGAAAATTTTGGAAGGAATTGAAAAAATGGCTACACTGGTGGGACTGTCCTCGCCTCACCTGCTACTGCACCGTTTTATCCTCCGCCGCCCAACCCTGCCGCTCGCCTCCCTAGCCCACCGTCCCTTCCCTCACTTCAAAACGACGCCGTTCTACAGCTCTTTCCGCTTCTCCACCTCCTCCCCTTCTACTCTGTGCTCCCTCTCACAACTTGCCAACGACGTCGTTTTACAACCCGAGAACGTGAACACCAAATCGGGTCGTGGTCCTCGAGGATCCGATGCGTCTGAGAGTCCGGGGACTTTGAAGATTGTCGTTAATGAAACCCCGCCGCCTAGCCTCACCGTGAAGGAGAAGAAGGATCTGGCTTCGTATGCCCACAGCTTGGGGAAAAAGCTAAAGTCACAGCAGGTTGGGAAATCCGGCGTCACGGACACTGTTGTCACGGCGTTGGTTGATACACTGGAAGCCAACGAACTTCTCAAGGTATTTGCTCTTGTTGGATGTGTTAATTATTTTTACTTTCTTTATCTTCGTCTCTTTCTGAATTTGAGCTCCGTTCTAAGTAGTTATTATACCATTGTTATTTTTTCTTTGAACAATTTGCTCAATGTTTGTGGTGATGAGACTGATTCTGAGTTTTGCTTAATGTCTTTCTCATTTTGATTGATGGCAACAGCTGAAAATACATGGCTCGTGTCCAGGGGACTTGGAAGATGTGGTGAAGCAGCTAGAGAAAACCACTGGCTCGGTAGTAGTCGGGCAAATTGGCAGAACCGTGATTCTCTATCGACCGAGCCTCACCAAGCAAAAAGCAGAAGAGAAAAAGAAACAGGCTCAGAGAATTTATTTGAAAAGGCAATCGAAGTTGGAGCGATTAGCTCAGGTTGGATTTCTTGACAAACCCTTCTTTGATTTCTTTCTTGTGGAATGTGGGATTTGTTCTTTTCGGTTTATGCCGAGATATTGTGGTGGCTTTTCGATAATATCTTGTTTCGATGGAAGCTTGGAGCTATGAACTTGTTAGGCACATTTAAGTCGTAAAGACAAGTTGATGTCCTGTGCAAACCGACCTTGAATTTACAGGCTGAGTATCTCAGTTGGACCAACACACATTCATTATATAGTGCATTAAAAGAACATTTTGTTTGAAATCACAAACTTTCCCTTAAGATGTGTTTTATGTAACAAACTACCATCCTTCCTGAGGAAAACCTGCAAATTAGGGAGAAAAAAATAAAAATAAAATTGCCAAAGGGGTGTCTAAAATTTCTTAACACCACCTAATTTGTTTTCAATAATTAGGCAAAAATGTAGGGATAGATTTTGTAACTATACCTTAATTTTCTGTTGTTCAACTTGGATTTGTGCAGAGTGAAAAAACATCATCACCTTTTCGGAGAGTGAAAAAACATCATCACCTTAAGATGAGCTTTACGTAACAAAATACCGCCCTTCCTGAGGAAGACCTGCAAATTAGGAAGAAAAAAATAAAATAAAATTGCCAAAGGGGCATCTAAAATTTCTTAACACCACGTAATTTGTTTTCAATAAATTAGCATAAAACCTAGGTATGGATTATGTAACTATACCTTCAATTTCTGTTGTTCAACTTGGATCTGTGCAGAGTAAAAAAACATCATCACCTTTTCGGCAAGAACAAAGACGAAATGGCCGTGGGCGTAGAGGGAGTAGCAGATTTTCAGCTCCCAATTGATGTTTTGTATTCATTGACCAGCATATTAAGGCTTGCTCTGTGACCTGTCTATGGTTTTTTGTCTACCAAAACATCTGCATTTGCCAGTTTTCAGTTGATAAATGTTTTTATTTTTTATTTTTTTTATTTTTTTTCCCTCTGAGGTGATGCGTTTCATGATTTTAATGAGGCTATTGGCACCGATAATATAAAAAACAAGTAAAATAGTGCCATTGTAGGAAGGATTTGGATCTTGATGCTGTGCAATTCTAATTAGCTATAGATAATTGCTATTGTAGTTGGTTTTTAATTAATCACAAAGCCTTGATGAAAGATTTTGCTGCAGTAATTTTATGAACAGTAAATTTTGACATTAGTTAAACAAGTCTGCATTTTAGATTGGCCTTTCATGATGAAACAATAATATGAACTCTGTATAATGATCTATACTTCTGGAAAATAATGTAGTAACAAATGTTTGTGATTCCTATAACATTACACGACCTGTGCTACTGAATAAAGCATTCCATTAAATTCTCTATTTGAGAGCGATTCCAATTCTCTGTCTTTAGAGCGATTCCAATTCTAAGAGTGAGTTTGGGATTCTCTTCTTCGAGAGTGGGTCGAGGGTTTCTGGTGTCCCTTTGTCTTCGTGAGTGAGAGTTCCGTTTCAGTGCTTTAGGGTTTCCGATGGGGAAGCCAATTTTATCTAGGGCTTATTTGGGCTGGTTGGTGGATTCTTTAGTGTCGTAGAGGATATTCAGTTCAGAGTGATAAAGTTGCAGTGGAAGAGGAATTAGAGATGGGCCTGAGGAAGATTTCGTTATGAAGAAGCTACTGTTACCGATTTGGGGGTGAATGATATCAGCAAGAGCAGGGCGGGAGGAATGTGAGAAGAGCTTGTTTGGGAAAGTAATTGGGCAACATGGCGTTTGATCCAGGAAAATGTTCTCAAACCCTCGAGTTAACGTTATTTGAGTTCAAATCCATGTTCTAGAAAGATAGAAAAAGTTAATTCCTCCAAGAAGTAGTCTCCAATCAAATCAAATCCAAATCGTTTAATTCAGAATCTAGTCATTTGACCCCGTTTAATTCGGGATCAAGTCATTCGACCCTCGTTAGACAAATTTAAACTCAAGCATATAGGAGATATAACCGTCAAATCCAACTTTGAAGACTCCAACCCATATCCAAAATGTCTTCGAACCCAAATCCAAGAAGTGATAGTGATCATACCTTCAAAATTGTTTGATCGAAAAAAAATATAGCATTTGAAAACACATAGAGATTGTACACTACAAATTTGGCACACCGAGCTGCTAAAGATGCAATAGTCACCTGTCAAAGTGCATTTGAAAACTGTATTTTCTTTTAACAACATAAAGGTTAAAAAAAAACAAAAAAAAGCAACTATCACCTCAGGAGCAGGAAAACATATTTCTGGAAAATGATTAATATATTTACTGAAATTTAAAATTAAGGGGAAAAAAGGTCAAGGTAGGTTGGCACATAGTACAATTAGCAGCCCCTCTTTGCCGTCAACGCCTAACGGCCATTAAACTTCTTAAATTACGACATTATATTACCGCAAGTCAATCCAACAAACAACGAGATAGATTTTTAATGTTGGACCTCATTTGTGCACGAGAGATGAGAAAACGAAACGAGTCGAGTCAAGTGGAGCAATGACTTTATCGAGCTGAACTCATTTTTTTTTTTTTTCAGTTCAACTCAATAAGCCAAGATTTATAACTCATAAAAATTGCAAATGTTAGAGATTGGTTCGAATTTTATGAGCTCGAATTTTGTCCGAGTACGATTCGAATAGTCAATAAAAAATCTATTTAAATGAGAATTTTCTCAACCTTGGCACAAAATCACATCTTGGTTGACTTGAATGTAGCTCAAGTAATGGGTATTTAGGTAAATTACACTTAGGGTCAAATAGCCCGTCGAGAACTCAAGCTTATGAAATATAGGCTCGAACTCAACTCGAGTTCATATTCGAGGTACTCCAAGTTGAGTCGAGCTTTGAATCTAGCGTTCATAAACGGCTAGCAAGCCCTCAATTTGTTTGCACTCATTTAGCTCGATTTAGTCAATTCAATTGAGGGAAACTATAGCATTTAGTATTTGTTACAGTTCATACCATACATGCATCTCCCACATAACAAAAAACTTTACAATTGTATCAAGTACGAACAAATGCAATATGGTGGAATCATCACTAGAAATTTAGAAGGAAAAGCACCAAATTTACAAATGGGAAATTATTCGTTGACTTTCAGCTTTTATGAAGAAGTGTGTGCAAAAGGACCCAACATTTCCCAACACACGGAGTGTAGTGCAATTGTCCTAATTAATTTGCTGGTATTAGTTAATTAGACTCGATAATCAACTCAAGTTTGTTTTGCAAATGTGAAATAATAACAATAAAAATAAATAATAAGCAGAGAAAATTTGGCAACACGTGAGAAAACAGAAAATGTAGAACGCTTTCATAAGCTAACCACTTCAACTTTGAAGTTCCTTTTTTTT